TGGGGCCCACAACAACTGGGTAAAATCTTTGTAGGCAGTAATTGGTGAACAGAGAAAAACATTTTATTTTCTGAATATTATTTACACTAGGTGTCTTATCAAAGGGAACATTCTTAAAAAAGACTAGAAAATATCATACAATGAAAAATCAAAAAACTGAATTAGAACAGAAGAGTTCTTTAAGAGTTGTAGAAGTGTCGACAACCTAGAAGTATTTTAGGTTGGGTGCTGAGTATCTTCCATAATAAAACATCAATGAATTAAAGATACATAGCAATCTGTGTAACTGGATACCCTAAAACTGAACAATAACTACTCTGCCTTCTGCCAGAAGAATACAGCAATTGCAGTGATTTCTCGTCTTTTGTAAAAGGCAGAGTTTATATTTCAGAATGTACTTCACGAGTCTGATTGCTGCGAAGCAACTGAAACACACTTTAGAAAATATTGATATTCATAGGACACACATAACACTTGTTTACTCATAAAGTCATTATTCTTAGATTTAAAAACAGACAAATAAAACAAACCCATATGCCACATATAGCTGGCATACCAGTTTTAAAAGTTCATGAAATCCAGATTGCCTTTCTAACCATCAGTCTCATTTGCAGGGGAAAAAGAAATAAAGACATAAATGATCCTGAAAGGAGTTCCAAGATGACTAGATAGAAAACATACATAGTGGAGAAAGATGCTGAAAGTCTCTGTACCTTACAGCTTTCATTCAGGTTCGTAAGCCTTACTGTGGGTATGGGGAGCCACCCTTTGGTCATCACTGTAAATGCAAAATCAATAAAACCTACCACAGATGATGCAGGTTTCCACCCTTTCACAAGGATTCTTACTAACTTAAACTAGCTTAGTACAAGGTGCTTAAAAACTTATTGGTAATACTGAGAGGTACCTCAGGAATCATCTCTGGTTTAACACCATTTACAGCGTGTATCTTACCTTCTAACGACAACAGGGATGATTAATCTGTGCAAGGGCTGTCAGCATGTTACGTGCTAAACGTTGTTGTAAACTCTGTGCCTTCTGTTCTCGCTTATGTTATTGATGCAGATCAATTCCCACATATTCAGAATATTTGTAGCATCTTTTCACTCACTAAAATAAGGATTAAAAAAATACATTCGTTGTCTTGTAGACCTCTCTTCCAAGAGCCCAGAATTAAATAAACAAAAAGGTTATACATGAATTAGAACTTACTTCATTCTTTCATTACTGTGATTGATAAATAGACCACTGTGAAAAGCAGATTAACAAATAGAAAAGACCAACAAACTGGTACCATGCAATTTTGACAAAAGGGGCTGAATAATGATGTAACAAGATTAAAACCTCAAAGAATGGAAAACAGACATTAAGCGCAGGTAAGGTCAACTGACAGGGCAAAAAGGGAAACCTATGGAAACTGTCCAGAGAGTTTAAACTTAAGCCCCACACAACTCTTATTTCACACTGAAAACCACAAGCCGTTCCCAAAACGGAAGAAACTATTATGTTCTCTCTTAGCCTTGATCTGAGCAAGCTTTTTAAAAGCTTCTCTATTTTATGGGAAGGGACTAAGTTCCCAGAGATTCTGCATTTCCTCCTCCCTCAAGACTTTAGAAGCTGTTGTTCTTTCTGTTCTCAACTTCGAATCATCTACTGCCTTGTTCAGCTTTTACTGGTCATTATCTAGTGGAATCAGGCCATAAGGCAGAAGATAGAAAGGGGATATGTAAACACTGGATATCCCAGACATATCAGGAAAGCAACAGTTCTGAATTTGGATACCTACTTGAGAACACAAACCATATCAAGATCAAGAAAAGGAGAGAGAGGAGACAGAGACTGGAAGTAAACATCAGTTAGTAGTTAAGGCAATGAACATAGACCAAAATGTGATTACTTGCTATCTTCTACCCTATCAAGAAGCAGTTTTAATAACTAAGTAGAGAAATTACAATAACGAGCATATATATATATGCATATATACGCATATCCATATTTATATATACACACGTATATATAAAATCTCTACCAAATAAGCAATTTGTGTCCCACAGGATCAAAATTCCTACCCACATACTACATTTGGGGATGCAGATGCAAGAAAGTTGAATAATTGCTCCAAGGCCACACAGTAAGGAAATGTAGGACAAGGATTAACATTCAAGAATTTCCAGTCAATTAAACTTGAGATTTATATTGTTGTCATTCAAAAGAAGGTTATTTGTCTTTAATTTATGACTTCTTTTCCAACAACAGAGAACACAGAACACACTAGATCACTGAATAACATTTCCATTAGCTAAGAGGCAACTTTTTAATTACTTACTATTAGGGAGCTCCAACCAGTCTTCCTTGCCCAGGAGCACTCAAGAGGGCCTTACATGAAATATTAAAGTAATGGTAAGAAAGTGCGAAGGGTATGGGACAGTCATAACATTTCTTTTCCTGAGGATTGGAGGGCCACCCATACTGCATACTTCATGTTTTGTTTTTTTAATTTAATATTTATTTCAACTTTTTGTTATACAGTACACTTAGCATTATTACAGCCTGATAATACTACTGAATTCAACAACTGTTTTGATCTGTGACTGCAGAAGGTGTCAGTATAGATAAATCTGCACCATGGATTGATGTAAGGGTCTTAAAACCACACCTGATATTTACAGTGTGAGCTGCCTTTCCCTTCTACATTTTCATACACTCTCCAGATTTTCAGAGCAGTCATATGATCACAGGAAGCTAAAAACAACACTTACATTATCCCAGTATGAAAACAGGTCTTGTGAAAAGAATGATGATGTCCAAAATATCATGTCATTGTTTTGACACCACTAAGAAATCACTTTCATAGAATCACAGAATAGTTGAGGTTGGAAGGGACCTCCAGAGGATCATCTAGTCCAACCCTTCCACTCAAACAGGGACACCTAGAGCATGTGGCACAGGGTCACATATGGGCGAGTTTTGAAGATGTCCAAAGAAGGAGACTCCACAACCAATCTGGGCAGCCTGTCCCAGGGCTCTGTCAGCTTCACAGTAAAGAAGCTCTTCGTCAAATGCGGATGAAACTTTGTGTTTCAGCTTGTACCCATTACCCCTTGTCCTGTCACTAGTCACCACCAAGAGGAGTATCATTAAGAAGAGTTTAGCCCCATCCTCATTACATTCTCCCCTCAGGTATTTGTACATGGTGATAAGATCCCCTCTCAGTCCTCTCTTCTCCAGACTAAACAGGCCCAGCTCACTTAGTCTTTCCTCATAAGACAGATGTTCAAGTCCCTTAATCATCTTTGTGGCTCTCCGCTGGACCCTCTCTAGAAGCTCCGCATCCCTCTTGTACTGGGGAGCCCAGGACTGCACACAGTACTCCAGGTGCGGCCTGACCAGAGCTGAGCGGAGGGGCAGGATCCCCTCCCTCGACCTGCTGGCAACACTCCTCCTCATGCAGGCCAGGATCCCAGTGGGAATTGGTCTTCCACACTGCTGCCTCATGGTTCACTTGTTGTCAACCAGGACTCCCAAATCCCTCTCCATGGAGCGGCAGGTCAATCTGTCCTGGTGCCTGGGGTTATTCTTTCGCATATACAGGACCCTGCACTTGTCCCTGTTGAACCTCATGAGGTTCCTCTCTGCCCAGCTCTCCATCCTGTCTAGGTCCCCCTGAATGGCAGCACAGCCCCCTGGTGTGCCAGCCACCCTGCCCAGATTAGATACAGCACTCTGCAAATCTGGGAGTGACACCTTTTCACAGTTAACTCCCTACACAAGGGAAAGCTGCAGCTCAGATGTGAATAACAATATTGATCTGTAGTGAGTTATAGATGACTGCAGAGAATCTGGTACTGAAAAGAAATGAAGGAAAGCAAGTAACATAATGTGACTGGGATTAATTTATCATCAGACAGAGTCACACAGTTAACATTTACTCTAAAACACTTCTGAAATTAAACATTTGAAAATATGTCACTTAAGAATCTTAAGAAAGTAATCTCGTTCTTCACTGCACAAATGTTGTGGCTTGATCTTTTCTGCTGTCATAATAGAGACATCTCTGTATTAGGAGCTTGTTTGGTGGAATTACATCTCTGTTTTCTCATGTGGAAAAATGGCTGGTGTAAAACCTGCATCCCTGCTGTGTTTCTTCCATACCAAATGGTTCTGTCTCCTCTTTTGCCCCCAGATGACTATTATCAAGCTGGATATCCCTGGTACAGAGCTTGCCTATGCAACTCCAGTGGTGACTCACATGATTTCCTAACATGTATCTTGTTGCCAACATCTGCTTCCTTGTTTAGCTAATTTTATCTTTAATGCTCAGGTCTTCAAAATATAACAGGACTAAACCACAAAACCTTTCTGAAGATGAGCAAACTTTCCCATCTGAATTTACAGCCATTTAGCTCTACCTTAATGGCAGGATTAAATGCTACCAGCTTCCATTAAAGGATAAGCTAATATCCAATCTTCAACCTCCAGGCAAATCCTCCCAAATCCTTCTAAAGTATTTCATCACAAATAACTTGAGGGAATTTCATGTTTCTCAGTGGTATCCCAGATGCTGACATCTCTGAAAACCTCACCTGTTTCTGTAAAAGAGACAATACTGTTCGAGTATAAACAATCTTAAATATTGTGAATTTAACAGGACGCAGTTTGAGTGAAAACTGTGTCTTAAAATAATTCATGCCTTTTGTGGTTTCTCTAAGATATATAATTATTTTATTAAATTATCTTCACTTTTACAACGCATACTTCCTATTTATCCTCTAAAATGTCTACTAAGATGGAGAATAAAACTGGACTGATCAGTTTTGGTTTTGGAAGTCCATTATCAATTACCAACACAGTATCAATATACTTAAATTGCAAACAATTCTGAGTGGTGGCATTTAAATCCAAAAAAAAACAGTTAAAAATTATAATTTTAAAAATGGTGCTGGGAGCATTTTTCATAATACCTGAGTTTGCAACATTTTTTAAGAATAGAATCAATATTTTATGCCCACATTATACAACCACATTACACTCTGAAACTGGAACTATTTAGGGGGAGCAATATTTTTTACAAGAATGATTAATGACCTGAGAAGAAAAACCTGACACAGTTACACTTCTCACACATCAGGCAAATATATAGAACAGATCAGCATGTTTTGTCCAAAGGTGGGAAAGCGTCTTAGTGACTCCCAACTGTCTGTAAATATATTGTACTTAAGAAACACACGGTGCTCCAAGCTTGTAGATAATGTAATATCCCTACTCATTATATAAATTCCATCATTATGGAGAGTGCAAGTCAAGTTAAGACCTGATTTTGATGTGTTCTCTTTGAGGTAGAGCCATTCTTTGGTAGCAATGTTGTAAGACTGCACAGTTAACACATCCTCACTTTGGCTGGATTTTTGGTTTGGTCCAAGTTCATGAATACAGCCCCCTACTAGGTATATAGTTTCTTCAACAGAGAGCATCTGTTGCTTTCGAACATGGACATCACACAGTTCAAAGTTGGTCCAGGAATCAGAAGTGGGACAGTACTGCAAAATGTTCATATTCCTGTCTGAAACAAAGGAGAAATATTTATAAATAAATACAAATATTAGAATGTACTCATGGGGGAGGATTCTTCCTCCTTGAATATCATATGAGCAGGTATTACAGACTGCCAACATGTCACTCCACAGCACAACTGTGTAGCAGAACACAGAAGAAATTTGGATTATTGAGAACTGTAAGTGTTTCCCCTTGACAGTAAAGACTGAAAATTGTTTTTCACTGTAGAGGGAAACATTACGCTGCTTCTGGCGCTTTTATTACAAGATGCAAATGGTCTAGGAGTGTGGATTTTAGCTGAAAAATCTGCTAGCTTACTCTTGTCTTTGATTGATACTTAAGAACTTATTATGAAAAAGGAAAGGGAGAGCGCTCCACCAGTGATCACAGATGAATTAAATTATCACAAACACCGTATGTTTCATTAATGGTTGCCAGGTGATGATTTATCATTCCATCTTTAACTAAATACATTGCATTTCACTCCACAAATCAAAGTTTTATGTATTAAAATTCATAAAGCTTGTTACATATCAGCAAGTGGTGTGGATGACCTCAGGGCACATTTTCAGTACCTCGTAAAGACAGAAATACACACGTTGTTAAAATCCTTTAAAAACCCAGAACACCATACTCCAGCATCAGAGAGAGGATAGAAAAAGGCTGAGTCCCTATCAATAATCTAGTCACAGCTCAGTTGATCCATCTTTTTATCATACTGCTATTCTATGAAACTTTTACAATACCTCCCTGATTATGGTGTACAGGAGGCCCTAGCTATGTCCTGTATTAAGGCTTCACTAAATTAGCACAGATTGAACAGGGCCCAAGTTAGCTAGTAAATTCAGCTTTAATCTCTGGAGACTCAAATTTAAATCCAAGCTCAAATGACAAGCGATAATGTGATTGCAGACTCCAGCTTGGTGTTATAATAAAACCTGTTTCTTATTACAAGTTTTCTCTCTATGACTAACTCCAGATGAGACCACAAGTGGAACAGCAGATGGTGATATACTGGCAAAGTTATGTAAGGGCACAGGCACAAATAGTCTCATACATGTATCAGGTTTGTCATGAATGTAGTGCACTAGCAGCATGGTTGGGATGCTGCTGCTATAACATTTGCACAGACACTGATGACTATTAGTCATTGCTTATTATTTTGTACTGTCTGCCTTAGTACGTAATTCTCATTAAACAGAGGAAATAGAAGAGGAAAAAAAGGCATGGTAATGCTCTACAAGACTGCTGATCAAAACTTTACATATGGAGAACCTCTTTATTTAAACAATGTATTCTCTGACCCATTATGGGGGGAAAACACTATATTTCCTCCAGCTAATTTTCTATGTTTGTCTATAACAGACAGACTTGTCTATCTTCCCAGGAAAAAAAAATGGTGCTATGGTTTGAGATGTTTAATATGAAATGGAAGTTTATTGTGACATGGCCCTAGTTTTCTGACTCCAGAGCCTGGGTCTTTTATTTCCATAAAATAAAGAAAAGCTAATAAAAAACAAAAATTGAGCTTTTATTGCTCGGGATAGATGTTGTTGGTTCACAACTAAAATCCTAGTCTTTATTCAAGAATGATCATTATAATTTACAGTGGAAAATTTCAGATCCTATTATCTTTCAAAAAGTGCAGTCTCAGAAGAAAGATGTACCTACATTAAAAGAAAAATAAATCCATAAAGCCGAATGAAGTCTTGCTTGATGAATGATTTGCTGAGGCACACATAGAAACACTACGTAAAAATACATATAAACTGCTGCATTTGTTTTATTTAGTGAATAGAACAAAACAGCATATGAGGCTCATTGTGTCCCAGCTAGTTAGACGTGATTTAACACTTTCCGACGTCTATGTGACCTGGAATCTGAATCACGAATGTAACTTCAGTAATTCTTGTTTCCAAGTCTGATTGTTGTCCTGAAGCCAAAGTGTCACAGAAAAACGGATTCTAGGCCTTGATTCAGGTAAAGATCTTTATTTATAAAACTAACAGGCCTGAATGCTGTTGTTAGTTGACTTGAACTTAAATATAAGCCTAAATGTGCTTGTTTTTAATCTGCTGTTTATGCTTTTATACTGTTTTACTATTCCATTTCCATTAAACACAAGCTTTTAGAAAAAGATCTCTTGTGAAAGGACCCCAAAAGTCAATGTCAATCCTGTAAGATGTGGTAAAGCCAAGATAACTTGTTGACTCTCCTTCAACTGAAAGTACATGTAAAAAGTACTAGATAAGGAGCTGGACACACAGAAGTCCTGACAGCACATACTTTGTTACTGAACTTTAATTTAAGGGATTAGCACCAGCTTCAGCAGCATGCTCATCTTCCTATCCATAACAGCAGGAGGAGGCAAGCTGAAGAAAGAACAGGACAAGCACCAGCAAGACGACTTGCAAAGTTGAGGGAAAGTGAAAAGAACAGCTGACACTCTCATACTCCTGCAGTACCCTTAAACAAATCAGTTTTTCCTTCTTATCTATTCTCTCTCTGTAGAAAAAAGCGACAAAAAATAATTCCAGTGTCTAGAAGCAATGAGTCTTCCTGGCATTCTGTGTTTCAGTCTCCCCTCTTCCCTTGTTTTTAAAGATGTTTCCCTTCAGACTTCACAGCAAGTGTCTGTGCTGGACACCCTTCAGTCCTAGTCTAGCTGAACACGTAGGACGCCAGGGAGCACAATTCACGCGACAGGTCCTTTAGTGGGGATGATAAGAAGATCAGGACTCAAGAGCACATTGCAGTGTTGTCCTCTGTGTGGAGACAGGCACTCTGGTATCTTTTGCTTACTTTGGGGAGGTCATCAGGTTCTGGGGCAGAACAGGACGCTTCTGAAGGTCATCATTACCACAACGACCCCAAGTGGTCGAAATGTATCTACAAACTCTGACACTTCAAAGGATGGCTTGCTCTAAAGTCAGTTTAGCTTTGTTTGCAGTAGTCACTGCAAAAGTCAAACCATAAATCTTTCCACTTGGAAACACCAAAGTTTTCAAATGATTGTGGTCAAATGAAGTGAGTAAAGAAGGAACTTTAGTTTAGGAAAACCAGGCAAATGCTACACATTTGACTCAGAAAAAAAAAAAAGACTTGTAGTTCTCAGAAAAAAAAAAAGGATATTCCATCCAAAGAAGGCATTAGTTAAGAGATAAACAAATGTATGCTCTTTAATTGGCTTGTTTTTCCGCTGGATTAAAATATTAGTAATAAAAAAAAAAACACCTTCAGGAGGGAGTGCATCTTCAAGTCATTCCTACTTTGTGCTTTGTGGTCCTTTAAGAAAACTGTTCAGAAAAAAGAACTTAAAAATGTTGGTTCCTGATTAAGTTCGTATTCTACTAAGTTATTACAATACTGAAAAAAACTTACCTATAGTAACTTACCAATACTTCACTTCCCGGTGAAGCACTGAAATGCTGTATCAATAGGGTTATAATATACATTCATATTTGAGAAATACTAATGCAGGCAGATATTTTCTTAATTTATTTTCTTCTGCCATTCTAAAACAGGTATTTAAAAAGGTAAACAAAACTACCACAATTTTGTTGAGACCTCTGTTTCTATTTTATTACCAAAATTTAAAAAGAGGAAGGCAAAACTGCATGCCAAAATACTCTAGAAGGCTTATTTCCCTCAGAGGAACAGCATCCCAGATCTACATCGGTCGTATGGTAAACAACAGCCCAAATATTTAGCTTTAAAATACATATACTTGTCATCCGTGACTGGAAACCCTAGCATTAGGTTTGGAAAATAACAACCTGATGCCTGTATTGCAGGGCAACCTTTTTATTTAGTTTGCCAATTATTTTAAGAGAGTGATTTATTTTTACTTATTGCAAGGAGTACTTACACAGCTTTCTACATCAATTTAAAAGGTTTCCTAAAAAGGAAAACAATCTGCATCGTAGAAGCAATCAAGCCGAAAAGAACGGGGAAGCTTTGTACCTCGTGTCGTGTATCCTCCAATAACATAGATCTTGCCCTTGCACTCGCAAGCCGAGAATTCTGCAAGAGGGTTTGGCATGGATGCCACGAAATTCCACCAGTCGTTTTCTGGGTTGTAACACTCCACATTGGAAAGGGATTGACCACCAATGGCATAGAGCTTTCCGTTTACAGCTAAAAGCTTAAAATTGGACCTGAAACATACAGATTATAGCATTGAAATAGATTAAATAGAATTACAGAAAAACACAGGAAAGGGTTCTTTTGAAACAGGCTTCAGCATTTTCATCATCACATTCAACTTATTCTATCGCTTTGTGTATGTCAGCACCTGAACTGTTCAGGGCATGTCCAAGATACACTGCAACTCAATGTAATGATGTCTGTGTCCACAGAATGTACTGGCGACATTCTGAAAGTTAACAATGTTGAAATTGAGTAATATTTTATTTTGGATTTCTATCTATCAGAATCTCATCTGCAACTGTTAACTGATGTGTTCAATGGATATCTAATTTTTAGTAAAGTTCCTTTTAGTAAAGTGCCTTGAGGACAGTAGATAGAAATGTATTTATATATACACACATAGAGTCAAGAATATTGTTTTAGTTAAAATTTGGGGAATTTCAAACAAGACTTGGTGACTGTCTATGAATGTGCACCAGTCTTAATTGTCAGGATTAGTCTCTTTAATAACCCTAACAAACAGAAATTTAATGCAGTGCATGTTGAATCATATTCTGCAAAGACGAGAAAAAAAGAAACTCTTGTGCCTTATCCTGCATTAACTTAAACTACTAAATACAGCTTCCAGCCCACTGAAGCAAGATATATTTGTAAATGAACGCCCCCCTCCCACCTCCATAGCTGAACAAAATACATTCAGTTTCATTGGCAATGTCTAGAGTTTTTTTTTTTTTTAGTCTGTTCCATTACTCTGTAGTACTTCACACATAACAAAAAGGTAGTTCACATGTAACAAAAGGCAGCTTTCTAATTACTGAAGCATAAGAAATCTAACATCTTGTACTTTTAAGATAAAAGAGGAAAAGAAAATTCCAGGGCAAACACAGAAATGTCTCAAAAGAGATCTGGGAAGTGAGGGGAAAATGAGATCCATGAACATGAGGATTAACTTATAGGATTTGTAGGATCAAACTGAAGGGACTGAAATTGGTAGGCTTGCATACATCTATCTTTCCAGCTACAGAAGATCTGCCTTTCCTTTCTTCAGAAAGAATCTTAGTTACAAGTAAGGGTAGCTCATTGCCTAGTAGGACCGTTCCTCTCCTACTGTTCATTTCAAGCCAAATCCTTGAAATTTTACCAAGCATTCAATTGACTGAACGTATGAAAGTCATTGCAACAGATAAGAACGAAGCCGACTGAGGCACTGCATTATGCCTGTAAAACTGAAGTGATGCTATAGACATCTAAGCAGTAAAGTGAATTTCACTCTGCATAGATCCAAGGTTCAAAAATTACCGTTTAACTACTTTTGCAGGGCTTTGTCTGGACAAAATGAACCTTGCCTAGCAGCAGACTGCCCTGCAATTTCTTTCTATTAAATATATTTGGAAAAAGAATTTGTTTCCAGATGGAATCATTTTGTTCTTGTCATCTTGATGTAGCTTTGGAAACTAAAATGCTCCTTTGAAGGAATTAATTGCTTTTCATTCATTTTTTTGCTGACATTTATGATTAGGTCACTCTCCTCTCTACAGCAATTATGTTTTCCATCTTAGAGAATCCAGAATAACATGGCAATCAATAGTGGGTACGAAGTGAGAATAATTACCTGCAAAAGCATTATGATTTTCAAAGCAATGTACTTTTCCTACAAACTATAATGAAGGAAAAAAAATCTATAAAAAAACAGATGGAGAAAAAATGCAAAATATAAATATATGCATTTTCTAACTAATCTTTTAAAATCAAAAATATGTTAGAAAGCCTGTAACTCCATGTCTGTGCTATGATGGAGATGATACAGAATCTGGGGCTTATAAGATTAGCTCACTTGCAAACAGGTAAATGTTCATTATTCCCAAGATCTTCAAGATAAAAGCTCTGCCACAGAGGACACAATTTCACAAGACAAACACAGAAGAAACCTGGTCTACTAACTCACACTTGCTTCTCTAGTCCCCAGTTAATCTTAGTCTCATACTGTTATCATCATGGAAGTCATTAATACCATTTTTGCCTGGCAGCACTCATATCACAGAGTAACTTCTTGCAAGCACAGGGAAAACAATGTGTTGAAAGACACAACTTTCAACTTTTGGCAAAACTTCCAACTATTCTGGAAGGCCAGATGCATTTGTATCATTCGGTTGAGTAATCTAACCACTTTCAACACTGGTTAAAATAGATGATACTTGGTGCACACATCTCTGACTTCTGGAATGTATTAACTACTAGGTTCAGTTTACTTAAAGGTAGCTATAAGTTGCCATTAGTGCACTTTATATGAGCAGACGGGACAACCGCTCAAAGCTATCATGAAAACCCTCTCCCACTGTCACTTCCATGCACGTAACAGTAGGTATTTATATGGAAAACAGACATTAGGAAATACTTAGTGTATTAGTACACTCTTTTAATGTGTTATAGCAGCTGGAAACAAGGAAAGCAAACATGGAGCAACGAGCCAGCTCTCCACAACTAGCAAGTGTTCCATGGATCGCAGCTTGGAAATAACTGGACGTAGTCGAGTTCAACTGTGATACAACTCCACTCACACCAGTGAGTTACCTAAACCTGGCGGAAGATAATTGTTTTCCAAATGCCAGGCCTAGTGTGTATTCTCCTTGCTGGGGCAAGAAGCTTACCTGAAATTTGTCCTCTGAGGTCCCTCACTTCCTCTGAAAGGAAGCCAAGGAACACAAGCAAAAAGATATGAAAAAAAAAAAAATGCAAATAGTTCAAACGGGCTGGACAAACAGAAGACCAAGACTGCCAGGATAACCTGCCCTATAGCTGGGGAAGAAGGGTACTGAAACGTTTCCTTAGGAAAAGAGTGAGTGGCATGAGTTTACAGTCTGATATGATCACTAAATCTGCGTAAGCTCAACAAATTGTGAAAACTGCCCAGAATTACCACAGTGAAAATCAATAAAGGCAAATGCAAAGTATTACACATAGGAGGGAGGAAAAATCTAATAGACAAGTAAAAAAGGACTGGGGGTCAGAGCACATAACTGAAAACAAGATAGCATGCCGTATCTCTCAAAGAAAACGCATGTTGTTCTGGGCTGCATTAACAGACATGATATATATGTAAGAGATGATAATAAAAGTGATTATAAAGAGGACAGCAAGCATTCTGCTAGTCCACTGACAGATATCAAAAAAAGAGAAAAAGTTAAGAAAAGAAAGTTAAAAAGAGAAAAAGTTAAGAAAAGAAAGTTAAAAAGAAAAAAAGGTAAGATTACAAAAAAAGTTAAGATTAGATATTAAAGAGGATTTTCTGACCAAAATGAGAGCTAAGCATGGAAACATTTTTATGTGGAAGGAAAGAGGCTGGAACCTGCAGCACTGGAGAGTTTCAAGAACAAGTCTGACATATATTTGCAAGGTGGGCTTGACCCTGCCAGAGAGCAGGAAGGTTTAGCAAGAAGAGCAAGATCCTGTGGGTCCTTCCTGCCCAGTAATTCATATTTTAACCTAAAATTTCCCCTCATATCTTATGATTTCTTTCTTGTAGAGTCAAAGCATTTACAGAAAATGTGAAAATCATGGAAATACAGTTATGAAGGCAATTCAAAAGCATTTCACATTTCTTGTATGGAGGTATTTTTTACTGCCCTTATCTGAGTCTGCAAGACACACTGCAAACAAGTTTGGGCAGAGTGTGTGATGCATTTGTGAGAAATGTGACAAATATTTCTAATCTGAAAATCCTTGTAAAGTCTTTTTCCCTCTCCCAACACAGAATAATTCCGAACGGGGACAAAATTTAAAAAAAAAAAAAAAA